ATTGGCCGTCAAGTGCTTAACAACCACACCACTAGGGCTCTTTTACTATTTCATATTGACTTGAGGACTCAATTCATTTTATATCTACTCTTTTATGGGCCTGTAAGATCCTTGATCTCTGGAGGCCTCATGGGAAGAAGCTACACTGCAACCCCAAAAGCATGCGTTTCAATTCCCCCAGTTGCTCCATGGAAGAAGGATTGGCAGTCTCCTGTATGATGAGCTGCCTCTGAAAACCTGCTGGAGGGTCAGCTACAGGTTGGTTCCAACTCAATGACCCACAATAGCAAGGATCTTGATCCTTGAGAGCAAAGACCCCAATTCCTCTGTGCACTGTACTCTGGCACCTGGCACAGTCTCTGAAGTGGAAAAGATGCTCATAAAATTATGTGTGGAATTGAAAAACAGAGTAAAGTCAAGTGGTTTGTGACAAGTGCTGCATCATGGTTTCTTTAGCTAAATGAGTGAAATGGAAGGTAGAAATCAAACAATGCTGAATATGTGAAAATTTAATTTTGGGGGAATGAAGCAGAGTGGAAAGGCACAATCAGGGCCAACAAGTCAAAAAAAGATGCCTCTCCTCATGGAGGCAAATGTGTCCACTGCGCACAGGAGTCAGGCTGAAGGAGACTTCAGGGGAGGGTGGAAATTTTGCTCTGATGTTGCCATAGCTTCATGCCAAGGAGGCAAACCAGCAGATAAGTGAAAGCACATGGTAGCTACTGCGCCACATTCCCTTTCAAATCTCACTTAGACTCCCTTGAGGCCCACAGTAACTGGAAACAAAAGGGAAAGGGAATTCTGGGAAATGTGATTTGGCCTGTTCACGTTGATGTATTACAGAACAACCACAGGAGGCATTTGGAACTTAGAAGTGAATGAACTGGCTTGGCAGCAGGGAGCGCTTGGCCTTCTTGTCCCACTAGAATGCAGGTTTCATGAGGCAGAATACCCTGTGTATCCCCAAACCCTAGAATGGTGCCTTGCACATGGAGAGGCCTAACAACATTTTGTGGGATGAATGTTGACTGATTCTGGTCCACAGTCAAAGGAAGCTGTGTGGCATCATTAAAAGGCCCATTCAAATGAAAACTTTTCTGTTGCATGGTATCTCTAACAGGAGTACTACAAGTGGATGTTTTTGTTGTTGTTTTGTGGGGGTGTTTTTTAGATGTTAATGAAAGTTTATAAAGAACTTGGATTTCCATTCATTCATTATTGAACATTTTCCTCCCTGCTCCCCACCCCACTCACTTTTTATTCTGGGAAAAAAAGTTCTTTTCTTGTTATACAGTCGTTTCCACTCCCCACCCCCAGATCACTTTATTATGCAACTCTTATTCTGGATTCTTGTCATACCAATAATACCTAATCATATATTCTTTTTTTATACAGTTCTGTCTCTCATCTGTTTCAATGTCATATATATTACTTATCCCCTCTTTTCTTAGTTTTCTCCAACCTCCAAATAAGTACTGTTTTATAACAGTGGCACTATGCAGTATTTGTTCTTTTGTGACTGAGATATTTCACTCAGCATAATGTACTCCAGAGTCACCCATTTAGTATAATATTTCATGAGTTCTTTGTTTTTTAGTGCTGCATAATATTCCATTTTGTGAATATACCACAGCTTCTCTAACAAATGGATAGAGAAGCAGGAATTTATTCTCTCAAAATTAGTATATTAGAAGTTCAAATTCAGGGCACCAATTCTAGAAGACTTTCTCAGGTCTCGAAGAAGGTCTTTGACTCCTTCTAACATCTGTGGACCTGGAATTCTCCAGGTGTCTTGGCATCAGTTTTCTCCTGAAACTAGAAGCTTCTAAGTGCAGGGACCAAGGTGAAAGGACAGGCTTTGCTCCTGGCTCTTCTTACGTGTTGACACTGAGGCCCCTTTGACCTCTACTCTTTTGTTTAATCTCTTTTATATTGCAAAAACCTATTGACTCAAGATAGAGCCAGCTCCTTATATCATGCCTCACCAATACAACTGCTTCTAAATCTGCCTCATTAACATCATTCGAATCAGACCAAACCTACTGTAATCGAGTCAGTTCCAACTCATAGGAACCCTCCATTAAGTTTCCAAGACTTTAAGTCTTTACAGGAGAAGATTGGCCATCTTTCTCCCTTGGAGCTGCCAGTGGATTTGAACTTCTGACTTTGTCATTAGTAGTCCAATATGGTACATGCTATACCTCCAGGGCTCCTTAACATCAGAGTTGTTAAAATTTACAACAGAGGATAATTACATCGCATCACAAAAGGAAAGAAAATTGGATATTAGAGAGAATAGTGTCAATCAAGTTGATACATGTTTTGGGGGATGCAGTTCAAACATGTTGTTGTTGTTGTTGTTGTTGCTTTTAGGTGTCATTAAGTAGTGGAAGATTCATAGCGACCCTAAGAAGAGCAGATTGAACACTGTCCTATCTTGTGTCATCCTCATCATCTCTGACACATTTGAGCCCATGTGACTGCTGTCACTGTGTCAATCCATCTCATTGGAGGTCTTCCTCTCCTTCGCTGGCCTTCATCTTTCCAAGCATGATGTCCCTTTCCAAAGAATAGCCCCACCTAGCTACATGTCCAAAGTATGAGAGATGAACCTTCACCATCTTTGCCTCCAAGAAACACTCTGGCCGCATTTTCCCCCAAGACATATAGGGTTTTGGAAATACAGTAAAATGCCATTTTATACATTCATTATAAAGGAACATACAGTAGAATGAAGTAAGAAGCATATTACCTTCTCTCACAATATACCTCAGGGGAGCAGTGTACAAAATTATTGTAGAGCCACCAGAGAATGCATCATAAAAATAAATAGTAAGTCAGTTACAGAGAGTTTGGCTACTGAGCCAAGAATCCTTGTTAAGGTGAAAAGAGAGGGAAGAGAGGAGTTAGCTAGAACCATTTTATTTACAGTTTTTCATAAGATCTAGGAAGGAAATTGTCAACCAGAGTAAATTCTAGAGAAACTTTGACCTACTGTGAGACCTGAGCAGGCCATAGGTACCACAGAATAAGAAAGCTGTTAAATCAGAACGAGGCTCTGCTGGTCTATTGTTAAGAAGCTGTGCTGCAATCCTAACAGCACACAGTTCGAATCCACCAGCCAGGGGAAATATGGACAATCTCCTCTTGTGTGACTAACGGCCTCTCAAAGTGGAAGGTCAGCTATGAGTTAGTTCTAACTCAATATTACATAAGAACAACAACAACAAGGCTAGACCCTGAGGCAGTTTACAAGGCCAGATTCCTTTGTGCTGTGACAGCTCAAGGCTGTTATTGTTGTTGTTGTTGTTATGTGTCATTGAGTCACCTGTGACCCATAGTGACCCTAGGTACAGCAGCTCTGAAGACTGATCTGTCTTGGAGAGGGTGAAACCAAGTTTCTCCTTGGAGGCTAGGATTTTGGAGCTCCATCTCACATACTTTGGGAACATGGCCAGGAGGGATCTGTCCTTGGAGAAGGACATCATACTTGGAAGAGTGGAGGGACAACACAGGAGAGGAAGAGCCCAGATGAGATGGATTGATAGAGTAACTGGGGCAAGGGGGGTTGGTGTGTTGGAATCAGTGAGACTGGCTCAGGACAGGGCAGGCTCAAGACTCAGACAGCTTAATTTTTATGCTTCATCAGGAGGTCTTTCATAAGCTGAAACATCTCTAATGTAATACTTATGTGTGTATGTGTGTATGTGTGTCTCTATAAGCTTCTGAGATTTTATGAACATTCACAACTGAGGTCTCTCCCATGGCTTCTCTATTTACTTTTCTTTCTCTCCTTCTTCCCTGGTTTGACCTAAATTTTCCAACATACATTTACAACTAATACAAGTTTACCTTCAAATAACAATGTATCATTTCATATAGAATGGAAGAGTATTATCACAGAGACACCTCCTGTCCCTTATGACATCTTGGCATTCATTACACTTATCCACATGTCCAGTATTAGTTAAATTCAGTTAAACCCAATATTCGTTGTTGTTGTTATGTGCATAATAATTAATGATTAATAA